TGCACCTGCTGGCTGCCTGCCATTTTCCACCATGCGAAACAGCAGCTCGAGGCCATGCCAGACGCAGCTGTCCCTATCATAAGTTTTAGATGGAGATGGCAAACTTGAATACTAACAGGAGCCAGGACTAGCTAAGGGGACAAGCGTTAGAAGACCAACCCCCAGCCCTCCCCGTTCCTTTCTGGGAACAGCTGGAGCCGAGAAGCAACTAACCTCTTTTATAGGGTATGAGTCTCCTGGCTGCCACAGTCCCCACTCTGCCCTAGAGTCTCACCAGCACTGAGGCCGAGTGGCCGCTTTGTATGTATCAATACCCCTGTGTTGTTGCTCTCCTTAGAGCAGAGAGACATTTCTCTGTAACTGGGTCTCTTTTTTTTTTTTTAAGTGGGAAAACCTAAGTCCAAGAGGGACATTGATTTTGAGGAAAATGGGAGATTATGTATTTCCCACTCGCTATAGTGTGTGACATCAAAACATTAAAACTCAGGGACCTGATGAGAACCTAATGCGGTACTGGGGCAGGTGGATTCCACAGCCAGACAGCCGGGGCTCAGATCTGCTCCTCTGGTGACTTACCCTCGTAGAGTTGGTTTCCTCCTTTGTTAACTGGGAACCTGCCATCCATCTCTCACAGAGTCGTCGTGAGGATTAACTGAGTTAGACCAGTACATGGTGGGCGCTCACTGAGGACAAACTCATATTATGGTGCTTATAGCTGTTGTTGACAGGGCTGAGAGAGGCGGAATCTGTCTGGGAAGAAGGGTCACACTCTGCCCTGCCAGCCAGGGGCCCCAGGGTAACAAAGTGTACGTGGCTTCCATGGAGCGGAAGACAAGTCTGCTCTGAGAATACGTGCGACCAGCCAGTTGGGAGCTTGGAAACCACGAGGTGACCATGCAGGCTGGAACTTGGCCCTTCATCAGGTTTATAAATGAAAACTAACATTGACTGAGTACCTACTACGAGCCAGGGACTGTAAGCATATTTACACGTAAAAATTTGCTTCCACCAGTGCCGACCCTGTGGCTCACTCAGGAGAGTGAGGCGCTGGGAGTGCCGAGGCCGCGGGTTCAGATCCTCTATAGGGCTGGCCGGTGCACTCACTGGCTGAGCGTGGTGCAGACGACACCAAGCCAAGGGTTACGATCCCCTTACCAGTCACAGAAAAAAAAAAAAATTTGCTTCCACCCCACAGCAACCCCAGGAGGAAGGTCCTGTTATCAGTCCCATTTTACAGAAAAAGCAACTGAGGCACAGTGAGAAATGATCTGCCTAAGATCACACAGGGAGGAAGTGATCGCGCTGGGGTTGCAAGGTTTGTGTTCCTTAGTGCTGAATATTGGCGCCCCATTTGGACAGGACCCTGCTCTGAAGCTGGGGGACATTGGCAGAAGTGTTCAGATTCCTCAGTACTTACAAATATATATATTTTAAAATGGGGCCTGCCTGCCTTCCTCCCTCCCTGCCTCCCAGCTGATTATAAAAGGTAGTTCAGTTTCTTTTTTGTTTGTTTTGTTTGGCGGCTGGCTGGCAAGGGGATCTGAACCCTTGACCTTGGTGTTACAACGCCACGCTCTACCCACCTGAGCTCACTGGCCAGTCCAAAAGCAGTTCATGTTCATAGAAGAAGAAATGCATAGAAGCCACCCGTGCTGCCAGCACCCAGCCAGCAGGGTGGTGCAGAGCAGCCGTGGACCTTCTTTCTGTTGTCTCCTGGCCGGGACCAGCCTCGCCCGCCGCGGCTTGGCCGGGTGTCCCGCTGGCA